GTGGACCTGTTATATTCTATTATTGGCCACGAGGTGTTTGTCCCCTCTCACCCTGTGTTTCTTACATTGTTAACTTGTTGTAGATATCCGGTCACGGTTTGGCCACATGTTGTGGTGGTGCTTTCGTGTTTAATGATTTCTGTAATGTTACACAGTTACAGTGGCTTTGACTTTTGGTCCCGACTTTCCACAATCTACTAATGCGTTACTATACATCGCATCACAAAGTTTTTTTTTTTTTTTTTTTATTGGTCACGAAACCATTTCTTATAATGTCAATTTGTAGGATACGCCGCTGTAAGCAGACCTACTTTTTTGTCACTGTGTAGTGACATCTATTTATAGGCCGATGTTTTGGCCAGAAAGATATATTTAGTAATAAACCTAGCCGTTCAAAGCCGCTCACTGTAACACCTCGGGAATTGCTTTTGTATATCTGTCGCCTTAGGGGCCGCTGTCTGGCGACATAATTTTTTGTCACTGTGTAGACATCTATTTATAGGCCGATGTTTGGCCACAAAAATATATTTAGTAATAACCTAGCCCTTGCAGGCCGCTCCCTGAACACCTCGGGAATTGCTTTGTATATCTGTCGCCTTAGAGGCCGCTGTCCTGAACAGCTCATGAATTGCTTTCTATATGTGTCGCCTTTGAGGCCGCTGGCTGGACAGCTGATGAATTGATTTTGTATATATGTACTTATTGTCCGCTGTCCGGACAGCTCATGAATTACTTTTTGTATATAGCCTTCCAAACCACTCTCAGAATAAGTCATGATATTCATGCTGTGTATAGCCTTATAGGCCAATGGTCAATCAAGTCATGATTGTTATAGTGTGTATAGCCTTATAGGCCGCTGTCTTTACAACTTTATAATTCCATGCAGTATATAGCCCTATCGGCCACTTTCTGGCATCCAGTTGCTGTAGCCCCCATCACCACACTGTGCCACGGGCCCCTGTACCGCCTTCTCATACTACTGCTGCCAGATCCATCCTCTGCCATGTGCGTCTTTGTCGTCTGCTCACACGCTGCTGGGTTCCAGTTTTAAACCTAGGCCTGTGTTTATGGCTTCCGAAATACTGCTGCCTCCACCGCCACCCTGCGCCATGTGCCTCTCTGTCGTCTGCTCACGCTGCTGACGGCTTCCGCTTTTTTTAAACCTAGGCCTGTGTATGGCTTCCGAATACTGCTGCCTCCACCGCCACCCTGCGCCATGTGCCTCTGTCGTCTGCTCACTGCTGCTGAACGGCTTCCGCTTTTTAAACTAGTCCTGTGTATGTCTTCCGAATACTGCTGCCTCCACCGCCACCCTGCGCCATGTGCCACTTTCGGGTCTCCTCACACTGCTGCCAGGTCCATACTGATTCATGGCCCCCTCTGTACGGCGCTCCTCATGAACGTGGTTCAGCGGGTTTGCATCACTTAACGGCAAATCGTTGACAAATGCTGGGACGTTCAGTGTTGTGCGCATTAAGCCAGACACCAAAGGGCAGCACAGACCTGTTATTACTCGCTCAAGCATGGCTGAACAAAACCAGTCTCTACCACAAATTGGACCCAGACCTGCCCAGGGTCTCGTAACTAGATTGCACGGAGGAGTAGAGTCCGTTATCGGAATTAAATAGACAAAACGCCACACCAAAAAGAGTGGCCATTTCCAACACTTATTCCAGAAAGAGGAACAACCCGTTTCATATACGGCCCGTAGACGTTTCACGTCTGCCACATTCAGTCGATTTAAGACGCAAGCTCCACTTCCTGTGGTCTCTGACCGTCGATATACCTTTAAGTGTCAGCTTTGAAGCTATATTCCCTCCGGAGCACTGACACTGGTGCCCTTCCGTCAACAACATGCCTTTAAGTGTTTCTTTTTCAACCATATTCCCCACAGAAGCCAAACTCTTGGGTATCCCAGAAGCTGCTCAGCGGGTCAGGGCAATAAAAGCTCCCGGTTCGCAGGTTGTTCCGTCTTATGGATGGAAGTACGATGGTATATGATCTTCTTCGCACCCACGGCATTATCTCATAAAATTTCTGCATTGCATCTGCAATCACAACGCTGACTTCCCAGATCGCCACTCAGGCCATTGGACTCTTGATAGTCGTCTCCCCACACTGCTGCTGGGGGGGACTTGTCACGTTTTTTTTTAACCTAGGCCTGTGTATGGTCTTCAATTGAAGCTGCTTCCGCTCCGCCACTCCAAACTGCCATTGGACTCTTGATAGTCGTCTCCCCACGCAGCTGCTGGGGGGGACTTTTTAACATAGGCCTCTGTATGGCCTTTAATTGAAGCTGCTTACGCTCCGCCACTCTGCCATGGGCCTCTTGGGTATAACCCAGAAGCTGCTCAGCGGGTCAGGGCAATAAAGCTCCCCGGTTTCGCAGGTTGTTCTGTCTTATGGATGGAAGTACGACGGTATATGATCTTCTTCGCACCCACGGCATCACCTCATAGAATCTCTGCATTGCATCTGCAATCACAACGCTGACTTCCCGGATCGCCACTCAGCCATTGGACTCTGATAGTCGTCTCCTCCCCACACTGCTGCTGGGGGGACTTTTTAACCTAGGCCTTGTGTATGGCCTTCAATTGAAGCTGCTTCCGCTCCGCCACTCTGCCATTGGACTCTTGATAGTCGTCTGTCCCACGCTGCTGGGGGGACTTTTTAACATAGGCCTCTGTATGGCCTTTAATTGAAGCTGCTTACGCTCCGCCACTCTGCCATGGGCCTCTTGGGGTTCCCAGAAGCTGCTCAGCGGGTCAGGGCAATAAAGCTCCCGTTCGCAGGTTGTTCCGTCTTATGGATGGAAGTACGACGGTATATGATCTTCTTCGCACCCACGGCATTACTTTGTAGAATCTCTGCATTGCATCTGCAATCACAACGCTGACTTCCCCGATCGCCACTCAGCCATTGGACTCTTGATAGTCGTCTCCCCACACTGCTGCTGGGGGGACTTTTTAACCTAGGGCCTGTGTATGGCCTTCAATTGAAGCTGCTTCCGCTCCGCCACTCTGCCATTGGACTCTTGATAGTCGTCTCCCCACGCTGCTGCTGGGGGGACTTTTAACCTAGGCCTGTGTATGGCCCTTCAATTGAAGCTGCTTCTGCCTCGCCACTCTGCCATTAGACTCTTGATAGTCGTCTCCCCACACTGCTGCTGGGGGGACTTTTTAACATAGACCTCGGTATGGCCTTCAATTTAAGCTGCTTACGCTTCGCCACTCTGCCATGGGCCCCTGTACCGCCTCCTCTTGCTGCCTGCCAGGTCCAGAGTGTGTCATGGGTCCCTGTACGGCCTCCCATATTGCTGCTGACAGTTCATCGCCAGACTCTGCCATGTGCCACTTTCAGGTCTCCTTACACTGTTGGTGGGTTCCATTTTGTGATAAGGGTGCTGTATGGCCTTCCATTGCTGCTGCCTCCACCGCCACCCTGCGCCATGTGCCTCTGTCGTCTGCTCACGCTGCTGACGGCTTCCGCTTTTTAACCGAGGCCTGTGTTTGGCTTCCGAATACTGCTGCATCCACCGCCACCCTGCGCCATGTGTCTCTGTCGTCTGCTCACTAGCTGCTGACGGCTTCCGCTTTTAACCTAGGCCTGTGTATGGCTTCAGAATAATGCTGCCTACACCGCCACCCTGCGCCATGTGCCTCTGTCGTCTGCTCACGCTGCTGCCAGGTCCATACTGATTCATGGCCCCCTGTACCGGCTCCTCATGAACGTGGTTCAGTAGGGTTTGCATCACTTAACGGCAAATCGTTGACAAACGCTGGGACGTTCAGTGTTGTGCGCATTAAGCCAGACACCAAAGGGCAGCACAGACCTGTTATTACTCGCTCAAGCATGGCTGAACAAAACCATTCTCTACCACAAATTGGACCCAGACCTGCCCAGGGTCTCGTAAGTAGATTGCACGGAGGAGTAGAGTTCGTTATTGGAATTAACTGTGAGGGACTTTTAAACCTAGGCCTGTGTATGGCCTTCAATTGAAGCTGCTTCTGCTCCGCCACTCTGCCATTGGACTCTTGATAGTCGTCTCCCCACGCTGCTGCTGGGGGGACTTTTTAACATAGGCCTCTGTATGGCCTTCAAATTTAAGCTGCTTACGCTCCGCCACTCTGCCATGGGCCCCTGTACCGCCTCCTCATGCTGCTGCCAGGCCCGCAATCTGCCATGGGCCCCCGTACCGACTCCTCAATGCTGCTAGCCAGGCCCGTAATCTGTCATGGGCCCCCTGTACCGCCTCCTCATGCTGCTGCCAGGTCCAGAGTGTGTCATGGGTCCCTGTACGGCCTCCATTGCTGCTGTCTCCATCGCCACACTCTGCCATGTGCCACTTTCAGGTCTCCTCACACTGCTGGTGGGTTCCATTTTGTCATAGGGTGCTGTATGGCCTCCCATTGCTGCTGCCTCCACCGCCACACTGTGGCTCCACACTCTGGTTTTTTTGAGTTTTACTCAAATTAGTTGATACAAAAATTAATACGTCCCACAACAAAAAATACTACATCTAGTATTTTGTATGACCTCCATGATTTGTAAGGACAGCACCAAGTCTTCTAGGCATGGAATGAACAAGTTGGTGACATATTGCAACATCCGTCTTTTTTTTCCATTGTTCAAGAATGACCTCTTTTGGAGCCTGGATACTGGATGGAGAGTGATGCTTAACTTGTCTCTTCAGAATTCCCCATAGGTGTTTGATTGGGTTCAGATCAGGAGACTTGGCCACTAAATCACTTTCACCCTGTTCTTCTTCAAAAATGCAACAGAAGCCATCAGTTCCAAAAAACATTTATCTTGGTCTCATCACTCCAGAGTAAAGAGTCCCAGTAGTCTTCTTCTTTTTTAGCATGGGCCCTGGCAAATTCTAGGTGGGTTTTTTTTGTGCATGGGCTTTAGGAGAGGCTTTCTTCACAGACGACATGCATGCATGTCACTCCTCTGCAGTGTACACTGTATTGTGTCATGGGAAACAATCACCCGGTTTGGCTTTCTACTTCTTTAGCTAACTGCAGTGAACTTGCATGGTGATTTTCTTCAACCCTTCTCATCAGAAGATGCTCCTGTCGAGGTGTTAACTTCCATGGATGGCTTGGACGTCTCTGTGAGATGGTTGCAGTTCCATCTTTGTTAAATTTCTGTATCACTTTTGCTACAGTATTCTGACTAAGTAAAGCTTTGCTGATCTTCTTGTAGCCTTCACCTTTCTTGTGTAAAGAAATAATTTTCTTTCTTAGGCCTTGTATCATTTCTCTTCCATGTGATGCCATTTGTGGACACTGTCAGGAATGGACTTGCCAATAGTGGTGGGACTCACCTGCCTTGTGGGCTGCAGTACCAGGGCTGGCCAGCGGGTGCTCTCAACAACCAGAGGTTCACTTCGGCAATTAGCCATCACCCTGGGGCTGATTGCAGGTGTATTTAAGGGATGGCCAGACCTGCAGTCTGTGCCTTGGTGTGTGTTTTTCCATGGGCCCCTGTACCTTTGTAACCTCATTCCTGTTCCTGTTCCTGTTTCTGCCTGACTTGTTGCCGACAATGCCTGATCCTGACCTCTGCTGACTTCTCCTGTTTTGATCCCTGGCTTGTGACCCTGACCATTCTCTCCGCCTGCTCCTCCTGTACGTA